GAGGAATTTCATTTTGTTGTGGAGTGCAAAAAGTTATTTATGTTTACCGACAGTTGTACGGTATATAATACTGTTAAATTTAATATAATACTGACTCTTATATACTGTACTGGATATACGAACTAGTAACTTGGCCCTATCTCAATATTTCTGCAGTCCTGTGGTGAGACCTATCTGAGATGTGGTACGTGATTCTGTCTGAGAATGAACAATAGAAAACACTGTTACATACTGTAAGAACTACATAAGCATTTGAAATTAAGCCATGCTATGGCTGCCAAAAAGAGTGGGGTGAAAATACTATGTTTCCATAACAGTCCCAGTAGATTCTCATAGTTTTTAATACTTTGCAAAGCCTGACACATTACTGAGCAAAGTTACAAGCTCTTTTGTTGGAGCTGCACCATCATCAGTTCCCAGGTGTGAGTAATCCCTGAGGAACTATAAACCTTCCTTTTAGAGCTTCCTTTCCCATCCAAGGCCTTTAACTCGAACTGCTGATGTGGTCGCTGAAAGCATATAAAATGTTTCATTCATATTTATGGGCTTTTATTTTTAAGAGACAGATGTTAAATTATTTACCGCAAAGATTAAACGAGTTGTTGTTCAACCACCAATGGAGAGCAGAAATAGCTGGAGACTGTGATGAGAGGTTAAAGATGCTGGGTTCCAATTACATGATCCAGAGAGTGGCAAATCTAAACATTGGCATCGTGTAACTGCTTAGCAATCCTACTGGAATCTGTCCCAGCTGGATACAAACTGATCAGATTACGTGTTCTCACAAGAGAAACACTCTAAATATTAGTGAAACAACAGCAGGGTACATTGAAATATACCCCTCTACTTGCCTCTGTTGCCCATAATGTCTTAAATATACTGTAGTTCCATTGAAGAAGAATGCATGGAGCCAAATCAATTAAATAATGAAATGGAATTTTTTTTAATTAATGAAATCATATACAAATGGACTTGTTCTGCAAAAAGAGTGGCACAGCTGATTAATAATGATTTGCTGCAGATCTTTAGTTCATAAAACGCAGAGTAGTGTGAATTAATTTCTATTCCATTACACCACTGTTCAGTTTGTATAGAACATTTAAATATACAGTAATTTGTACAACTATGTTCTTATTTTCTTAATCTTTTCTATTGGAAGTGTCTATTGGAAGTGTGTGTAGGTCTTCACGTGACATTTTAAAAATGTTATATTTGGATTATAAATAATACAATAAATCCTTAAGGTAAAGTGGAGCAGTATGTCAGGATTGCATGAAGTCTGCTCATTTAGTTAAAAAGTCACTGGAGGACTTTAAGGGTTCTGATATTTTTCAAGGGGAACTGATTCAGGTTGTAAAAGCATAATTAAGTATAATACTTTTAATAGTTAAAATAAAGGTGATTTCAGGATGTTGTACCCTTCAGTGTTATCTTCATAATTATTCATAAGCAGGCACATTGAGTATGAAGCCTTTTTGTTGATCATTTGGAAAAGTTTTTCCCTTTGAAGTAAGAGGCTACCAGTCAAACAGTGTTTGCACCAACACAATTTGACAAACTTTTTCATTATTTCTTCCAATATTCTACAAATTGATGTGCAATAAATCCCTCTTTCCAGTTAAGAAACATATAGCCATTGATACTGTGTAGCATGCTGTTAAAACATGCAAAAGCTAGCCAGTGAACTGAGGGACATGAAGTCTATACATCGTCAATGTTGTTTGTTCTTTTCTAAAGAAGCTCTCTGCTCATTAACAAGGTTTTGTGAATGAAAAAGACTAAATAATACTGTATCTCTCCACCAGGTAACATAAACAGAGACTGTAAACTGAATATATATCATTAGACAAAATAAAAACAAATAGAAATAATAGGAAAGCAATCATTATGCAGCAGATTTCTGTCACATTCTCTTTTTATATATTTTTTGTCGGTGAGTCAGTTCCAGGTGGATTAAAATTATAAGTTTCACTGCTCTTCTGTCTACAGTATATCATCTTTGAAGTGTAAAGCTCAGGTAGTAAAGTGAATTCAGAGAAAGCTTCTCTTTCTCTTGCACATTTATTAGAACACATGTTGAAAATGTGACCCATATGGCACACTAAGACTGTGATTAAATACTTCTGTTTAGCTTTAAATCTGTGCTTCCTGCTGTAAATCGCTGCCTGACCTGACCCCTGATTTTTACCATCCTAACTGCCCTAATAATTATTATAATGCTAATGAACCTAATGAATATTAATAATATATTATTTCTTTATATTATAACAACTATTACTATCATTAGGAGTAATAGCATTCCTTCGGTTTATGTAGCTCTTATGATCCCAAATTATCCCAATGCAATTTACATGTAGGAGGGGACCCTCTTCATCCATCTGTGATGTGCAGCAGCCGGTTTGTGGTGGCAACCAAGCCACAGATCAGGTGGAGAAGCTAGAAATTACTTCTCCAGCTGAAGTTTAGGGTGGATATTAGGTTGACCAGATCGTACGAAAGCAGTGTGGAATGTAGCCAGGACGTTGGAGTCAACATTCCTCATTTTACAAACAGTGCCATGGGGTCTTTAGGGATCAGTTCAGTATCTCACCCAGGGGACGGTGCCTCGTGCAGTAAACTGTTCCTGGTCCCCACACTTGGTCATTAGCTTAGAGATTCTGGTTCAGAAGGAAGAGCCCCACACCCTGGACAGCCAATAGCCCTTACAGAAGAAGCCTGGTCTTCCATGCAGGTCCCCATCTGTATTTTGCACAAAACCTGCAAAATGTAGTCTTGTAGTTTTCTGGAAGTGTACAGGGGAAGAAATGGTGTTAAAGATCATGAGTCAATTAGATCTGATTGGGTAATGTGCTATCCTGTTGTAGGCACATGTTGAGGTTTATGGCAAAGTACTCTGAAAACTGAAGCAGTGTATTTTATTGTTGTCATCCTGATATTAACCCCTAAAAAAGTTGGCCATTGTTTTCTTTAGAACAATAAGTTCTACGGTTACTCAAAAGTCTTCTTTCCTCATGAAGAGTCCCAATTCTGTGATGATCTTTGCTGATGTTTTAGCCACTTTCTTTTAAGCAAATGGTTAATCAAGATGGATGGGAAATTTGTAGTACAAAAATGTAACCTTGTAAGTTTATAGATGTGTGTAAAGGAACACAGGATGTGAAGAGCATTAGAATGTTCCACTGTTGATTCTGAAGAATCACTGATTACATTCAACCATCCATTTTCTAAATGCTTTATCCAGTACAGGGTCGCGGGGAGCTGGAGCTAATCCTACCTAGATTTGACTAGTTTACTAATTAATGTTAATGATGGGAAAAGCCTAATCATAACACAAAGGTTTTAAAACAGTAGAAAACTTTAGAGGAGGCTTTATGTAAAATGATGATGCTCATAAAATGCATACTGTATATTGTTACACCTGACTGTGTCTAAAATGTCTAACACATTGCATATCAATGTACAGTAAGTCGCAGGGTATTAGGTTTCTGCTGTAGACCTCAATATCTGCAGTATCACTCAGAGATGGGCTGAACTGAAGTCTCTGAAGTCTCTGTGCATCGCTCATACCTTGTGCTGTTGGGTGGTAAATTCTGACTCAGGCTAGACCACGCGAGAGAAATATGTCATTTCATACTACAGAAGCTGCCAGTGTTTTGTATCCTGGGGGATTGCTTTTCTCATCCATTTACCATACACGTAAATCATAAGGCATGTAGTATTTCATTTCAATCCATTTTCTTTGTCATGGTGAAGGGCATAGCAAGAAAAAAAAGATATGAGGTTTCCTTTAACAGCAGTTTATGGGTGTCAGGCGGTGTGCTGTTAGTGTTGTCATCTAGAGCAAGGCAGTGTAAAATGATACTCTAGTCACATACAAGCATCCTGCTCTAGTCTAAACAATTACAAATGAGTATTTATGGATACAAGTATGATATGCCAAAAGACCTTGTTTTTGATCCAAGTTGGTAGGCAGTTACTGTGATCTGCAGACATGTACAGTTTTGGAGAACATATATGCATGGTTCTGGCTTTTGAAGAAAATCAAATGTTTATTTTTGCTGTATGTCATGATTGTCACTTTAATAGTAACAGTTTCAAGGAGGGCCTTGGTCAAATTATATGTCCAGTTTTATTGGGGCTCTAGCAAGCAGTTTTACAGCTTCTTCAAAAGTGGGTAAAAGATTTACTAATGGGTTCAACCAATTCTGAGTGAATGGACCCCTTTTTTGCAGGTGTCCAAATTAAGAAGGTTTGTATTAGTAATACAGCATTTCTGTGTTTAAGTATTCCCTTCCTACTTCTTTCTGTTGGTTATGTCCAGGTTTTTTTTACAGATTTTGACAGTAATTCGTAACTTTGATTTCCTTAACTGTTAGTAAAACCCTTAACCACCATGGAAAGTCATTCTTCTGGGTTTTTTAAGGGATTCGGTTCTTGTAAATCAGTGACTCATGTAAGTAAACAGAAGAGTAAATAATGTGCTCTGTTGCAGATTTTATTCTTAACATTTCTAGTTTTGATAAAGAATGCTCGGGACTCTGAGTTTTATTTTGGAAGGAGGAGTGTATGAAAGTGTAGGATACCTCGCCCACTTCTGTAAGTTTTAAAGTATGTTTAAGAGGTTTATATCCAATTTGTAAGTCAATGATTTGAATGAACCATTCTGCTGAATGGGCATAGTGATAAAACTGATAAAGGTTCTTCTGCGACAGTGATGTAATGCCCTACAAATGAAGAACTTTATGTATAACTGTTTTTGGCATCCTAGCCAGGGTGTATCCTGCCTTGCACCCATTGCTTACTGGGATAGGCTCCAGCTCCCCCCACAAGCCTGTATTGGATAAAGTGGTTAGAAAATTTATGGATGGAAAGACAGTGGGAAATGCTGTTCTCCATTAAATGAACCTCTGTTAACTTTTTATGAAAATGACACATCCGGGAATAATCAAGTTTTATTTTATCCAGCGTATTTACTACAGTATATTTTTCTTCCCTTGTAGGGATCAAGTTATTAGAGTGACCCCTCAGAACAGTGCAGAAGTTCAAACTCTGAAGAGCCTCTTTGAAAATATGAGGGTAAGCCATTTTGGTCATCTTCTTTCCCAGGCATGTAACATGAAATTGATAATGGTGTTTTTTAAAATATGGTGATTTAATTTGTTACAGGATATCCTAAGACTGTGGGATAAGTATGAGCTATTGCACAACTGAGACTGTGCTGTCCAATGTGGATTTCAGAGATTAGTGAAAATCCCCATTATCTTCATTATTTCTCAATCAGATGTTAAGCCAGGACAGAACACGTTTTCTCATTAACACAAGACTACAATGCATTGTAACTGGGCCTTTTTGTCTTTAGTTTAGGACCTATCCATATTTAGCTTTTTAAAAATCATTATATTTTCTCCAGAATAAAACGCTTCAGCATTCTAAATTGAATCAATATATGATAAGAGGTCTTTCTTCATAAATTACTATAGCTGTTTGGCTCACGTGAAATTTAAATAATAGAGGTAAATTACAGTCATTGTTTGTGAAAGCATTCCATGAACTGAAAAGAAAGAAAAGACAGTTTTTCAGATTTTGAAATCAGTAATTATTGATGCTTAAAAATTCTGGTGGTTCAGTTAAGCCTGAAATTAGTTTCAAATCATATTGGACTGGAAGAGCTGTCTTACCAAAAGTTATCAGATCTTAAAAGGCATAAAATAATTAGAATAAAGGAAATGCAAGGTGTCCTTCTGACTTATCTGTTCTCTTGTTAGTTGTTAGTGGCTAATTTAAGCATTTAGCCTCTTCAGCACCAGACCTTACCCAATATTTCACCTTGTCAGATTATCCTGTATGTGTTATTTTTCTAATACAAACTTCTAGGGTATTAAATAGGTGATTGATCAAGGAGCTACTAAAAAGAGATTTGCTGTTTGTATGGGGTGAAAGAAGATTATTATTCAGTGAATGCCCCCTTGTTCATCAATGCAGGCAATAATTACAATATTACATTATTGAATCTGCTCAGTGCATCTAGTCCAGCTACTGAATCATTTATAATGTACAACAGGCGAGTGAAATCTATAGCCAAAATCATTTGCTTAAATCAGGCCATGCACAGTGGGCTATAGGCTTAGCAGCTAGTGCTGCTGCCTCTCAGGTCTTGGGTCCTGGGTTCGAATGCTTCCTGGAGTGCCTTCTACAGTACATAGTTTTTGCATGTTGTCTACATGTCCAAGACGGTTTTACAAAGATATGCTGTCCAGGATATTTGCCAACTTTAAAGTTTCCTCTCATATGTACTGTATATGTGAGTAGTAGACTGCTGTCCCATCCACTGCAGTCTCCTGTGCCTGCCTGATTAGGCTCTCTATGGATAAGGTTTCTGAAAATGGCAGGATGGAAGGAAAAAGCCTAAATTGCCGAATCAATCATGTATTTTACTGTATAATTAATACAATAGAATTGCACTAGAAGAAACCCTTATCGTAAGATGACTGCAAGAGGCTGCTGTGTTTGGACAAAGTGCCATGCTTTTGTAATTTACCCACAGCCATCTGGGAGTAATTACACTACGTATCAGTGCTGGCCTGCCTCTGAATCTCCCCTGCTCCTCTGTTTGCTTTTGAGCATATAGTTCGTCTTGCAAGACCAGAATCATGAATCAAGTAGGAATCCTAAAAAAATAAGCTGCTACTGCCAAGGGAACAATTGAGTAGAAATAGGATTTCTATTTCAAACACGCAGCTGTACAGCTGTAGGCTGAGATGCAGCAGCTGTGAATTGCACAGGTCCAAATTCAAGAGCTGGGACAAGCGCATTCTCCTTTTCTTACACAGTGTATGGAACAGCAGCTAAAGTAATTCCCCCTTCATATACTGTAGCTGGCAACACTGTGTACACAGCTGCCTAGGCCTGTTTCCATTTTCACAGCCGTGACACAACCATAGTGTTTTCACTATGTCTTGCCTTGAGGATGTGACCGTGTTCCCACAGGCAACACCTTTTGGTGTCATTGAGATCGATGAGTCTCAAGCCCATTAGGTTACGGAAAGGTTTCAGAAGCCTTGTCTCCTGAAAACTACAAGGTGAAAAAACAAATACTTAGCACTATTCGGGACCAAATTTATACGTACATCACCAAAGCCAAGGCAACGACAGACTAAAATAGCAATTGTACCCTGAAGGTGATGTCTACCATAAAAATAACTTCCAATACTTCAAAACATCATTGTAGTAACACGGAGGAAAATAAATATTCAGGTAAAGTTCTCTTTAGTCCCATGCCAGGAATAGATTCTTTTTCAGCCCATGCAGTGCTTCAGAGGCCCTGCTCTCAGGGAATGACTCTCGATAAACATTTGTAGAATATCTGAAACATTTAGAATGTGGAAATGTTTGTAGAAAATGCTCAGTGGGACAGGCCAGGCACATGAATTTTTCAGCTTCCCATTCTTTTAGTCTGCTGGAGTTCAAACTGCTTCAGTACCTAAGCTTGGATTCTTGTCTCTCGTCCTGAAAGACAATCATGGAGAATCATTTTGCTGTTAAATATGTGAGCACACAGGGATACAGATATTTCTTGGTTAACTTTATGTTCTTTATTGATTCTATCTGATCTTTGCACATCTGTCTGTATCAACAACACCAACACCTAGCAGGTGAACTGGAGATTTTATGCTATTTTAATTTCATTCGCTATGGTAAATGGGGCACAGTAGTTTTGATAATAATATATGAGCTACAGTAATACTGTATATACAGTATGTATTTATTAGTACAATAGTCATTTTATTGTTTTACATTTGCATGCTTATTTTCTACTCTTTCCTCCTTTTCCATAAAGGATTGGTAATAAAAGTAAGACTGAAACTGTGGCAGTGATTTAATTGCATGTGCGCCACATTACTTGAACAAGTGCCTGCAATGCAATATGCACCAATATACAGTAGGCAGTGGGTAGCTGAATACTACAGTGCTCAGTCACGCAATGACCTGGCTTATATGCTCAAAAGGATCTCCTGAGGTTACTGCTTAACAAAGGCTGATTAACTGTAAAGCTGAACCAGAGATCAAAGAATCGTGAATTGTGCCTACTGTGCATTCTAGTCTCTGGCTAAGTGATTTCTAGGTCTCAAATGATCCTAAATCTAAGTAGTCCTTTTTGATGGAGACATTCCAAAGTTAGATACAAAATATTGTTTTTTTAACCTTTCATCTTTGCACTCAACATCAGTATTACAGAAGATGTTAGATTCAATGTAGATTCAAGCAAATTCACTTTTGTTGTTGTTTTTAGCCTTGCTAGAAGTTTTAGTTGTTTTAGCATTGGTGTATTTGACTGAGATTTTCTAACTACTGTTGTGTGATTATCATCGACCTCCTAAAGGAGACGTGTTACAATATTTAACACAAGATTAACTTTTTTTCCGTTGAACTGCTGCTTTGCTTGTGTAGAAAGGATAGAATTGTGGAAAATGCTCCACACTGTAAAAGAGGATTTGAAAGGGCACGACAGGGGGGAACACTGTTAGTAAATTAAAAATTTAAAGAGCCTGCACCTCGTTTTCCAAAGCTGAGCGACATTTACCCCTCCTGCATGATTATTTAACCATCCCTAGAGTGCTTTTATGCCAAACACCAAAGTGGCAGGTTTAGGGGTGGCAACACTGCAGAAACTGTGTTAATTTGTTATTAGTAAATCTGCTGCTTAACTGCAGGACAGCACATACCGCCTGAAACATTTTTAAAAACATGCACATAACCCTCTGCAAACCATTAAATCAATTAACCCATTACTAGAGCTTTGTGCCAACCTGTAGTTTTTTTTGGTTGTTTCAAATTAAATCCAGCTTTGACTTAAAGGGAGAACATTCCCCGCAATGTACAGTATACTGCACTGATAACAGCCGAGCCAGAATTCACATATTAATTGGTCATTTTCTTTAAGGTGATCAGACCAATCTGCATATGTGTTAATTTTTTTTATAAATAAAAAAGTAAAACCAAAGTTCAAAGATATATACTGTGTCAGTTGATTGAGGAATGCAGCTTAATATGCTTAGATTACTGAGTAAAATATTTAAACAATGTAAGAAGTGGGTATTTTTTCACTCAAAGTTCATATATTCTGTCTAGATCGATAAAGACCCAGATATTTGAGAGTTGTGGAGCTCTCTCATGTCTGATTTAATAGTAAATCAGACATGATTGAATTTGCTTCTGATTACGTTGAACTCGTTTGGGTTACTGGCCACACAAGGAATGTTGATCAGCACTGACTCATCTTCACTGTAGGCCATCTCAAAAGTGCAGGGAACAGGACTCAGAAATTGCAACCACATGTGAAGGCAGTTAGTGATGATATACTGTAACAAGGGCCTTGTTGATTGAGCATCTTGCTTAAGGCTTGTCGAAGATTCTGCTATGATTCTGCAGCGGACATTAAAGTTCCCCCCAAGGTTTGACATACAAAGCGAGAAGTCCTGCCAGGCAAAAATGCACATGTTGTGATTCTCCCACATCCTGTCAGCAAACACATCTGATGGAAACTGGAAAGGATTCCCACACAGCCCTGCTCACAATCATCAGTGCTTGAGAAAGCAGGATGAATCGTGTTGACAGCTTTGTTTTGGCCTCCCTGGAATGTAACTCTTCCTGTCTCCCAAGGGCTGTCGTTTACCTCTACTCTCGGCTGACTAGACAGGAGGTCTGTTGTGATGTCAGTCTGTTTTTAATAATAATAATAGTATAGCACTTTTCTGGAACTCCACTCAAAGCACTTTACAGGTAATGGGAATCCACTCCACCACCATCAGTGTGCAGCCCCACCTGGATGATGTGACGGCAGCCATAGTGCACCAGTACACTCCCCACACACAAGCTCTCACTGGGGAGGAGAACAGAGTGATTCATAGTTCATAGATGGGGAGGCCATGATTGGTAAAGGCCAGGAGGAAATTTGGCCATATTATTTTTTTCGATAAACACCCTGGGATTTTCAATGACCACGGAGAGTCAGAACCTCGTTTTTTACATCAAATCCGAAGGATGGCGCCTTTTTACACTATAATGTCTCTGTCACT